CCACCATGTACTTCCCCTTGGTGCTCATGTAGGCAGGGACAAAGGACAGCCACACACTGCAAAATACCAGCATGCTGAATGTGATAGATTTGGTTTCCTGGAAGGTGTCTGGTAACTTCCTGGCCAGGAAAGCTGCAATAAAGCTGACAAGAGCCAGGAAGCCCATAAAAGACAAGACACAACAAAACATGACAACTGATCCTTCGTTGCATTCCACAACGATTTCAGAGATGAAGGAATGCATGTCAAAGTCCAGGAAGGGGGGTGAGATTCCCAGCCACACAGTACAAAGGAGACTTTGAATAAGGGAACAGGAAAGTACAATGGAAAAGGCCAGTCTTTTCCCCACCCATGTCCTCATCCTTGATCCTGGCTTGGTGGCCATGAAAGCCAGAACCACAGTGATAGTTTTGGCCAGCATACAGGAAACAGCCAGTGAGAAGATGATGCCAAAAGCAAGTTGTCGAAGGAGACAAGTCATCTTCATTGGTCGACCAATGAAAAGCAGAGAACAAAGGAAGGAGAAGAGGAGGGAGATGAGGAGGGTGTAGGAGAGGCTGCGGTTGTTGGCCTTGACAATGGGAGTGTTGTGGTACTTCAGGAAGATGCCTAGTACAGAAATGGTGGTCAAAGAAAGGATAATGGCCACTGTCATTAAGCTGCTTCCTAACATTTCTTCATAAGAGAGGTATGTTATGTACTTGAGAAGGCAGAAATCCTGGTTATGGTTTGGATACTGATCTTCTGGGCATTGGAAACATTTGTCCATATCTGGAAAAGCAAACAGAAGTAGAAAGTCAAGAGATGGTTGAGAGGCCAATAATCTGAGAAGATAAAAGACATATATGATAAAAGTATCTTTTTAAATTTTGGCCTAGTGTCCTCCTGTGGACTTCATTTCTGCTTGGATTATGATAATGGACAAATGTTCATTTTATTTTTTGCAAATATTTCTTTTAAGAAATAAATATCTCAAAGATATTTATGAAACCATCCTACACTATATAAAAAATATGCTTGTCAACTTTTTTGCAAATTCACCCAAAGCTTGGAAGGACTTCCAAGATGCTTTTAAGGCAGAAGACCCCAAAAAACCTTAATATAAGATGTATTCACTATTCCTGTAACCACTATTTGCAGGCTCATAGAGTCCAGTAAAAGTGTGTAATTTGTTGTGGAATGTTATACAAGTTTAGGAAATTCAGTGCAATGTCTAAATGATGAAGAACATCCACTATGTTTCATAACATCTCTTACCTGTCTGATTGGTGATCTTTCCCTGTGGACATGGAAGGCAGTCATAGCAGCAAAATGCTTCTCCTTCTTTTGGGGTCTTTCGGTACCCTGAAGGGCAATAATCATTACACAGGGAGAGAGGTGATACCTGCTCATAAAAGAAATAAAAGTATGTTAACGTATTGGAAATAATATTCACAGATTGTGACTGTAACATGTTGAGATTGTGGTGCACCCTCCAATGTTTCCTGACTCAGCTGAAATGGCACGCAGAAACTGGAATACTTCCAGGCCCATGATTCATAAAAGTGATGTGATCAGGCCAAGAGGAAGATGGACTGAGATTCCTTGTTACTCCATGAGTCACCTGGATGTTTCAGCTGTTGCCTGCAGTGGTCCTGTTAGCACACCCATATATTTTATGAGAATAGTCATGTGACAATATACGAAATAAATACATGTTTTGATTGGTCTGATTTGCTCAGCTCTTGGTCAGTTGTACTCAACAGAAAAGAATGCAGTTGTGTTAGGTGAACATCCTTGGAATATTGGGTAAAGTAATAAATCAGTATTGACATGAGATGGTTTCTACCTGATTGAACCAGGTGGGCCAGATGATGTCATCCTCTGAAATGGTCAGCATCTGATGTGAGAGTCCTTCTGGATCGATGGTTCCAACCTTAACTCTAAGGAAGGACTGGTTTGGGAACGTGACCCAGTTTATTATATTGAATCCTCCTACAAATTCTCCATTTTGGTCAAAGGAAATCTTGTCCCCAGCACTGTTATTAAATGAGATGCCTCTCAGAAAATGATGAAGCTGAACAGCAAGGATGAAAAAGTTGGGAAAGAGATAAAAGCATGGTATGATGGTTTATTGTTAATACTTTGCAAAATGTTTATGTTACCAATATGATAAATGCCAGAAAATATCAGATAAAATTGCTTGGGTTCGCCCTGCATTGGACTCCAGCCTTAAGGCAGAACCAGTGGAGGTTGCGGGGGCTGGGTCTTGTTCAGTTCTCCAGAAGGAGTTTGATACTGTTGAACCTGAGGCAGTGGACAGGGTTCTTGTAGTTGCTAATTCAGCCACTTCTGTGTTAGGTCCGTGCCCCTCCTGGCTTGTCAAGGCTGCCCAGGACAGACTTGTGATTGGGTCTGGGCGGTGCTTAATTCCTCCATGAGGGAGGGGATGGTCCCACTGGCTCTGAAGAAGGCAGTGGTGCACCCTCTCCTCAAAAGGCCATTGCTTGACCCAACTAGTCTAGACTGCTTTCATCCAATCTCCAACCTCCCCTTTTTAGGGAAGGTTGCAAAGAAAGTGATCGCAGGGCAGCTTCAAAAGACCCTGGATGAAGCAGATTATCTGGGCTCCTTTCAGTCAGGATTCAGGCCAGGACAGGACTGAGACAGCATTGGTCACACTCTTTGATGACCAAAAACAACAGGGATACAGTCCAACCAAGTTCAGTTCTTTCATTGCTTACACTATATATACACGATTGCCGGACTAAATCTATGCTAACCTTGGGAGTTTCTAGGGAGTGATTCGCCTATGTCTGTTCCTTTTCCCATGCTGATGCTCTGGACTGTGTTGCCTCTTGTCTCCCTCCCCCCATTTCTTCCGGCAATGCACTCCCTCCTTCCTGAGAATCTGGCTGTCTACTGCATTCCTCACATGACCTCTGGAAGGAGGGGGATGGGGATAATGCATCCATCCTCACTCTCCTTCACCATTCAGCAACCTTTGATACCATCAATCATGGGATCCTACTGGACCAGCTTTGGGAGTTGCAGGTGGGTGGCACTGTGTTTTGCTGGTTCTCCTCCTTCCTCTGGGATCATTTCCAGTCAATGTTGATGGGGGGGAGGGTAGAAGTCCATGCCGGGGCCCCTACTTTGCAGGGTGCTGCAGGGCTCAGCCCTCTCTCTCCAATTCTTTAACATCTACATACATAGATGCTGGGTGAGGCAATTCAATGGTTTGCGGTGAGATATCACTATTCTGATGAGACCCAGTTTTATATCTCTACCCCAAGCTACCTGAGTGATGCAGTGGATGTTCTGTCACAGTGTTGGGAGGCTGTAGGAGTCTGGATGGGGCACAATGGGCTTCAGCTTAACCCAAGCAAGACAGAGTGTCTTTGGGTACTTGGGCTTTCCGGTCTCAAGGTTTTTCCACCTTTATTTCCGGATAGGATGGCATTACCCCAGATGCACCCAGTGCACACTGTAGGGGTAGTCTTGGACTCACAGCTCCTGCTGGAACAGCAGGTAGCAGCCATGGCTATGCGAGGTTCTGCGCACCTTTGGTTTGTGCACCAGTTGTGCCCATTCATGGACTATGAGGCTCCTCTCATAGCCTCTCATGCCCTCATGCCCTCCAGTCTGGTTTATTGCAGTGCTGTCTATATGAGGCTGCCCTAGAAGAGCATTTGGCAGGTTCAGCAGGTGCAGAAGGCATCTGCATGGGTAGCAAATTGTGTCGGATATTCAGCACATGTAGCACCACTAATTTGTGAGCTGCATATGCTTCCAGGGGCAATTCAAGGTTTGAATTGGGTACTTGGGCTTTCCGGTCTCTGCTTTGAAGACCTTCATGGCTTGGAACTGGGAGACTGTCTGCTCCCAGCTGTTTCCACTTGTCTGGTAGTCTGGGCGTGCTCCAGGTCCCATCAGCCAAGGAATGGAGTTGTGCCATTTCTGCCATCGCCCCACCCTCCAGAACATTCTCCCTCCAGGAATTAGAATGGCCTGACCCTGTTGGCCTTTCATAAGGCCTTAAAGACTTGGTTCTGTGGCAGAGCCTTCAATTTCAAGTGTGTTAAGGCTTCTGTTTCCTCATTAAATTACCATGTACGGTTATGACTTTTTACCGCTGCTATATATATTTCTTTTTTGTATTAAGCTTGCAATTGGTTTAAATTGATTTTATTATTGGAAGCCACCCAGAATCACTTGTTTGTATTGGGTGACCATAGAAATTAATTAATTACATAAATGAATGAATAAATTAATAAATAAATAAGAAAACAGATGCCCAGCACTATTACAGTACTTTAGAGTAAGACTGCATCATTGTCTTCATAGAAGTGGAACTTAATCTTCTTATCACTCTAAAAAAATGATTAATAACGTTTTGCCAACTTAATCTCTCAACAGATTTCCCACATATTATAAAATGTTTATTGACTTCTTATGGACAAAACCTTTCAATCTTCTACAAACCTAACTTGACTTACATAATATATTTAAAACCACTAAACCAGCTTGTGCCTGTATAAGGGTTTTTGAACAGTTACTAGATGGCTAAGGTTACTTTTTACGGAAAGATACCTTGAAAAATCTAAATTGTAACAGTTTAGGGTCAAAAAGAGGCTGGTATCATTTTCAGCACACACACACACACACACACACACACACATCTGTCAGACATCATACTCAGGAAGTCATAGATCTAGTTGGTACGATTTTATAAGGGGATACTTTTTGAAAAACTGAAAATGTTTTAATCACAGGATCAATATGAAAATAAGAGAGGATGCATTCCCCTGCACAATTTCTTCTTGGTGAAAAATAGTACAAACAAAAAACCAAATAAAGATCTGCAATGAATATTAGCCATTCTTACAAACATAATGGGACAAGATAACCTTTATGGGACAAGCAGTGGTAACAGCTAGGAACTGGAACTGGAATTGTAGGAAGGAGGATGAGGATGTGGATGTGGATGTGGATGAGAAGAAGAAGAAGAAGAAGAAGAAGAAGAAGAAGAAGAAGAAGAAGAAGAAGAAG